AGAAACTCCTGAATGCTCAGATGAATGAAGCTGTAGACTTTCCTCTGATGAATCACAGATTCCTGCTTAAAGATCTCAGTGCAAATCCCAGAATACACTGAGGCGTCAGTGAGGTCTATGCCGCTCTCAATCAGGTCCTCCTCATAGAACATCACATTGCCCTTCATCAGCTGTTTGAAAGCCACTTCAGCAAGTTTCACAATCACTTCTCTGTTGGACTGCAGGAGTTTCTCTGGATCTCTCTCTTCATACTTCTGGTTCCTCATGTTGATCTGAATCAGCAGGAAGTGGATGTACATTTCAGTCAGAGTTTGAGGGATTTCTGCACTCAGATCTTCTTCCAGGAGCTTCTGAAGCACAGTGGATGAGATCCAGCAGAAGACGGGGATGTGGCACATGATGTGGAGGCTTCTTGCTCTTCTGATGTGTGAGATGATTCTGCTGGCTTGATGCTGGTCAGTGATTCTCTTCCTGAAATATTCCTCCTTCTGAGGCTCATTGAATCCCTGAATTTCTGTCAGACGGTGGATGTATTTGGAGGGGATCTGATTGGCTGCTGCTGGTCTGCAGGTGATCCATATGAGAGCAGAGGGAAGCAGCTCTCCTTTCATGAGCTTTGACATCAACACAGCCACTGATGAAGTCTCAGTCACATCACAAACTTTCTGAGCGTCTGAAAACATCAGTGTGATTCTGCTTTCATCCAGACCATCAAAGATGAACACAACTTTACACTCCTCATAAATCTCTGAGTCCAGATCTTGAAGTTCAGGATGAAAGTCCAGCAGAAGTCTGTGAAGACTGTACTGGTGATCTTTAATCAAGTTCAGTTCTCGAAATGGAAGCACAAACATGAAATCTACATCCAGATTGGCTTTTCCCTCGGCCCAGTCCAGAATGAACTTCTGCACAGAGACAGTTTTTCCAATTCCAGCGATGCCTTTAGTAAGAACAGTCTTGATTTGGTCTTTCTCCTCACATCCTGGTTCAGGTAAGGGTTTAAAGATGTAATTGCAGTGGATTGGAGTGTCTTGTGACTGTTGTGGTCTCTGTATGTTCTCCATCTGTACAACCTCATGTTCTTCACTCACTCCTTCACTCTCTCTTTCTGTGATGTAGAGCTGTGTGTAGATTCTGTTCAGTAAAGTTTGATTCTTTCGTAATTTGACTCCTTCAAATAAGCTCTCATATTTGTTCTTCATGCATGTTTTGTGAGTGTCTTTGATTCTCTGGTGCCTGATGTTGGTCTCCACTAAGGAAGTGCAGGTCAGATGATTCACAGATTTCACCAGATCATTATGTTCATCACTGGAGAGACAGCAACAAAAAAAAGTAAAACAACAAATGTGAAAGTACAGAAAACGATTATACAAAAATATAAATCATGATTTAATATTTTTATAGTTAGAACAGGAAATGACCTGCATACATAAAGGTTTACTGTAGAAACATGTTACCGATGTCCATTAGACTTTCTAATTCTAGTTAAAAATACAGTGCATTTTTTTCTTGTTTTGTTGTTTTTACAATGTTAGTTTCAGAAGCATCTGCACATACAACTGCTAGGCTTAATCTTTGAGACAAGCATGTTACTTGCAGTATAAACTATGTAGTCAGACATTAGCATAGCCTTAGGAAAGGGAAAAAACTGCTTTTGAGCAACACCAGGATGAGTAAATACTGCCTGAATTTAAATTTTTGGGTGAACTATCCCTTTAAATTTACACTAAAAAATTAAGATATTGGAAACTGTATTTTCCATTATTTGCATACATCTACATTTTTACATACAGTAAATACTGCACATTGAACATGGCAAAATTCAAATGTATTCTGAGATGACTAAGTTAACATTTTCACATCCCTACCATTAATCATTGCTGTTCTCTCAATTTTCTGACAAGCCCTTTTGCCTAATTTTATATAGAAGAACTGTCCCAGATAGCAAAATTGTTTGGGGCAAATACAGCTCTGGAAAAAATTAAGAGACCACTCCCAATTTTTCTTAAATCAGCATCTGAATTTCTCAGACCACATTGCTAAAACTGCCCGGTCCTGCAGATTTGTTTTATACAACATTAGGAAGATAAGGCCCTTTCTTTCAGAACATGCAACAGAACTCCTTGTTCAAGCTCTTGTTTTGTCCAGACTGGACTACTGTGGTCACCGTTATTTTGCCAAGTAAGACATGTTCCTGGATCAGCATCTTTTATTGATCCTGGATCGACATTACTGTCCAAAAATATAGACCTAACCCAATCCCTACCCCTAAATCTAACCCTACCCATAATTTATTCCTAAAATCAGAGGGAAATGAATCATCAGATCAATCAACCAATAAGAATTGAGGGATAAGTTTTCAAGAAATGTCAGTTTTAAAAACATTCTGGTTGATTAGAATGTTGTTCCAGGATCAACAAGGATGTTAATCCAGGAACATGTTGTAATTAGTGAAATCACGTTCACTGGACTATTGCAAAGCTCTCTTGGCAGATCTTCCAGCCAGTTCTATCAAACCTTTACAACTAATCCAGAATGCGGCTGAAAGATTAGTCTTTAACGAGCCGAAAAGAACGCATGTCACACCTCTGTTCATCAATTTGCACTGGCTACCAGTAGCTGCTCGCATAAAATTCAAGGTATTGATGTTTGCCTACAAAACCACCACTGGCTCTGCACCCCTTTACCTAGATTCACTACTTCTGACTTATGTGCCCTCCAAAAGCTTGCGTTCTGCAAGTGAACGGTGCATTATAGTGCCATCCCAAAGAGGCACAAAATCACTGTAACAAAGTTCGTAGAAGAAGGCGGGAACCGGCGAACATTTAAACAAGACTTTAATAATCAAATAAACAAACACAAAACGAATGTAAAAGTTCACGGACGACTGCCGCATAAAACAACAACATAAAGTCCAGGGGCCTCATGTATAAAACTTTACGTAGATTTCATCCTAAATGTGTGCGTACGCACAAAAGCTAGATTTTGCGTATGTACAAAAGTTTTCAGATTTATAAAGCCATGTGTACGCCAGAACCTGCGCAAAATTGCCTTTGTAATACCCAGTCAGCGAAAGATTGTGCGTACATGAATCTCCACCCCGTCTCCTCCCCGAAATAGCCATTTATGGAGCTTACAA